TTTAGTTATATGATGATTCTTTTCATATCAAATTCATTGAATAAAATATATAAATATCTTTGTAAAATTATTTTCTCTAAATATAGATGGTTATCAAGTTACGTTAATACCTTTCGTATTCGATACATTAGTGTTATTAATAGTTTCCATAACTATACTACGTTTAGAATGTATCATCAGAACGTATTTATTTGAGTTTTTTCTTTGTTCACTTTTTATTTATTTATTTTATTAAAATGGATATTTATACATTTTTTAATTATAATTATAATTATTTTATAATATATTTTTTCAAAATATCATATTTAAAGAATGTCATAATATGTATTTGTTTTTGTTTTTACTTTTATTTTTAAAAATTCATAGCACCAAGAATATAGTGTGATGATCAATCAAGTGGTTCAGAATCTTAAGGTCTCAAGTATGAAATAAATAATAAAATAAAAAATATAAGTGGAGGGACTAATAATTATTAGTAGTAGTAGTATAACGGAGTACTTGTTTATTCTATTTGTTGGTTCAAACTTCAAAGTCATCATACGTGATAAGTGGTCAAAGGAAAATACATTTATAAGATTATTTGGGACCACAAAGGTTAATCATATCCCTAGAACATTCCCATCTTGTTCTATTTTAGATTTTGCATTTTAATATTGAAAAACATAATAGGTAAGGTACAAAATATATATTTTTGGTGATTTTTTTATTTTAACTTTTCTTGTGTTTGATACATTTGACACTTGTATTGAGTATACCTTAAATTAGAGCGTCAATATGGGCTAGGTCCGTTGGACTGATCTGATCTTACTCATGATTTGATAGGGTTGAATTACGATTTTTGGAACCTATTTAAGAAAATAATTTTTTAGCCCGGCCTGAATAAGTCTACCGATTTGTGGGGCTTGAGAAATATGGATAAGGCCGATTCGTGGGCCAAATAAAAATTAATTACAAAAAAAATAGAGAATTAAAAATAGCAAGAGTCTAAACTCAAAATCTATTTAAAGTTTGAAATATTACAATTAAAATACAAATTATGTTTATAAAATATAAATACATAAAATAAAAATTCCCTAAAATCTCTAGAGATTCACTACATAGACTATAGCCTATGGAATATTGTCATAGTTTTTGTGTTTTTTATGATCATTGGAAAACAATTAGGTTAATATTTCTACTTAGCTATTTATGCTTTTACTTGAAATCAAACTTAATAAATATTATAAAGATAATTTTATTTGTGTATTTGATTAACAAGTAGTAACTCTAACACCATGTAATATTGTCTTGTCGATATTTATGATAATATTTTTAAATTATAATTTAATTTAAAAAAATATATTTTTGAGAAAAGAGGGTTGGTCCGGCAAAGCCCGTAGCCCATGTACTTGTGGGCTGGGCCAATCATTTTCTGGCCCACACAAAAAATGGGATAGTCCGGCCTGACCCGTTAAATTTCAAAGTCTGTATGGGTTAGCCCGGATAGAGTGGATCAGCCCATATTGACAATTCTACCTTAAATCAATAAATATATAATTTATGTAAATTGTTATCATCTAATTTAGTTTATTTATTTATTAAACCACTTAATTATGAAACTGAAATATAATTTGATATAAGTATCCGACAATGGTAAATATTTACTAGAGTATGTCTTTGTATCCACCATCACATAATTATATAATATTATTTAATGATTATTATATTTTGGAGAGAACAAGTCAAAATGTTACTATTGATTTCACATTGACTTGAATCTTCTCAGCCTCATTATAAAGAAATATTTTATTTTTCTTAAATATATTATTGTTCACCCATAAAATGGGATGTACTAGCTAGTTTATAGTCAAAAGCAAAAGGGCTAACCCATCGGTGGTCACCTAAAGTTGGCATCAATTTTCATTTAGACACCTTAACTAGGCTTTGTTCATTTTAGACATCTCATGTCATCCCCAATTGTGTCATTTTGACACTTTTTCGACAATCTACCAAATTTGTTAGGTGTGTGTAACACACTTGCTGATGACGTGTCAAAGTAACGAATTAAATAAAGACACATGGCATATATAGAAAAAATAATTATTAAATGATGAATCTTGAGTAGGAAAAAAATTACCAACGACTCATTGACATGTGACATTTCTTTAACTAAATAATTAAAAAAAAAAACCACTTTTAATAAAAAGAAAATCATATGCACACCACCCCAAATTGTCTTCTCTACTACCCACCCCCACCTCAAACCCCAACCCCTCTCTCTCACCCATATTTTCTTCTCCACCCACCACCACCCCCGACCCTCCCTCACCCAAATGTGTCAAAAGAAGAAGCTGTTTTTTGTTTGTTTTTATCACTTTGTGAATGTTGTGAGATAAGAACGTCTTTCTTCTAATATATTGATGTTTGAATGCTTGATTTGGTGAATGTGGTAATGCATTTGCTTGACCTTTTTGGGGTTTTTTTTTCTTCCTTTTTTTTTTTTGAATTTCTGGGTCAATGCAAGTCAAAAATTGGTTCTTTGGTACATAAATATGGAGTCCCAAACTTTCTACTAAAAATTATATAGCTTATCTATTTGATTTGGACTTTTTCTGTGATTATGATGTGAGAAGGCATACAAATGGATTGGAATGCTAAAATTGTTTGTTGTGAATGTAGAATTTGATAATTAAAAGGGAGAAGGGATGGATTTACCCCTGAACTTTAATAAATGGTACGTCTATGCCCTCCGTTATACTTTGTGTCCACATAAGCCCCTGCCGTCCAATTATAGGTACACACATACCCCTCTCACTAACGGCCCCCTCATTTTTTACACGTGTCTTAAATCTAATCAACTACCCGTTTGACCTTTCTTTTTAACCCATAAACCAACTACCCGCCCTATAAACCTAATACCCACCCAATTTCCTCTAAGATATATCCTATTATTTAGTTTCCTTTTTCAATTTTCCCCTAAACTTCAAACTTTAAAAAAATCCCCTAAATTCCCGTTCTAGGAGAATAAAAAATCTCTTTGGATCTGAATCTTCTCTCTTCCAGTGACTTTATTGCACTTTCCTCTCTCGATTTCTCCACAATTTTGGTTGATTGAAGTTTGTGTGCATGCAAAGTTTTGATCTTTGTGTGGTGGAGTATTTTCAACATTGTGATCGGTGGAAGGGTGGTATAGAGCTCTATGAATTTGGAAGGATTAAGGTTTGGATGTGATCTGTTGTTGTTTGTGGGTTTGGGTAAATGCTCGTGGGAGGGGATCTAGGGTTTCTCTCGAGCTTGGTGGTGGCGGCGTTCATGGCGGTTTTTGGACCGGTGTCAGGTTTTATGGTTAGACAAAAATGAAGGCGTTCGGTGGCGAGGAGGGAGGAGATCAAGAGGTGGTTGGTTTTGGCTTCGGATGAGGCAGCTAGGGTTGAGCTACAAGCCGCTGAGGAATATGGGTATGATTATGAGTATAGGTGTGAGTCGCTGAAGGAGGAGGATGAGGTGTTTGTTGAAACACCGGCATCATTAGCACCACCACCAACAATTTCAACATCATATTCTGGGTCTTTTAATTAGGATTCCTTTTAGAGGAAATTGGGTGGGTATTGGGTTATGGGTTAAAAAAAAGGGTCAAACGGGTAGTTCAATAGGATTAAGACACGTGTAAGAAATTAGGGGTCCGTTAGTGAGAGGGGTATATGTGTACCTATAATTGGACGGTAGGGGCTTATGTGGACGGAAAGTATAACGGAGGGCATATACGTACAATTTATTAAAGTTCGGGGGTAAATCCGTCCTTTCTCCCTAATTGAAAATATGATTTCTTGCCATTTTTTAGTGTGTGTTTTTCTTCTTGAAATTTATGTTGATTTTCTCAAATTATTTTGAGGAGGAAGCAGGACAACAAAATAAGTGAAAGTACTTAAGCTTAAAATTTATGGGCGCTAGAATTCACTTTTTGTTTGTGGCATTGTCAAATTTATTTCACCATGGCAAGATTTAAGCTTGGAAAATGGTAGCCAAAAAATGCGGAAGAAGAAGAAGAAAAAAAAAATTAAAATTTGGTAAAATGAGGCTCTCACGCGCGTCCAGTGAGTGTAGCACACTTGCTATGCCATCTCAGCAGAAAGTGTCAAATTGACACAACAAGACATGACATGAGGTGTCTAAAATGAACGAAGCTTAGTTAAGGTGTCTAAGTGAAAATTAGTGTCAATTTTAGGTGGCCACCGATGAGTTTGCCCAAAGCAAAATAATACTACTGAAAGAAGAGAAGAAAAGAAAAGATTGGTGATTGGGGTGAGCCGTGGCCAGTGAATAGGAGTCTTAGTTGACCATCACATCAAATGTATAGAATAGAGGCCAATTCCAGCCTGTAATTTTGTGGGCACCGACCAATTAATGCAGTCTACTCATACATACACAAAGCAAAAGGAAAATATAATTGATGTTTTTATGAGTAAAAAACTGTTTAAGTTTAATAATAAGCAAACATTTATTTGAAATAATCTTCTTGTAATATTTCAAATTTTAAAAACAAAGTCTATGGATGATTACAAACCACTTCTAATAAAAACATATTATTATAAACTTGTAGATAAATCAAAATATACAATTTAACGCTAATATTATAACTTCTTTTTACTTTTTTTTTTGGAGGTAGGAGAAGGGAATGAACCCACACCAACAAAATGAAAATTCAAGTAGTCAACCAACTAACCGAACCTACTAAGGTTTTCATGCTAATATTGTACTGAATAGTTATTTTGCAAATGAATTTGGTATATATTTAATGATGCCATTATTCATTGTTTCCAAACTATGAAAATATCCAGAATAGATCCTTGCCTTTGCTCAGATAATTTGAGAAATATTAGAGGATGGTGCTGAGGATACAACACATAACAAATTTAGCTTTATAGTGCAAGTCAATAGATCTCCAAATAAATGCCCCTTACAACAATATTATGCCCCATATTCATGATATCCTATATGGCACAGAAGTAAACTTGTTCATGCTATACTAGGTTGTCAATTTCGGGATCTAGATAAGTTAGATCAAGCACCTTATGAATGTCAGCTAGACATGCATGGGAAACATCTCCAGATATGAACTCATTAATCATCCCATCAATCTCAATTGCACTGTACCCAGGTGTCTTCCTGAGCCCTCGGTCACCAATTCTCCTCCTGATTCGACGTGCATCATCACATTGTCGAGCTGCTAAATATATATTTGATAGTTGAACATAAGCAGAATCTTCTTCAGCTTCATTGCTATCTTCTACCAACAAAATCTCTTTGACAGCAAGTTCTGCAAGATTCACGTTGTTGTGATTTCGGCAACCACTTAACAATGCCCCCCAAACAGAGGCCCGCGGTTTCATTGGCATCCTTCTAATAAGCTTAAGTGCGTCATCCAATCGGCCAGCTCTGCATAGCAAGTCCACTACACAGCTGAAGTGCTCATGTTCCGGTGTAACGCCATATAAAGATTCCATCTCATCCAACAAACCTTGACCTTCTTTCTGAAGCCCTGAATGTGCACATGCTGCTAAAACTGCCAGAATGACAACACCATCAGGCTTAAGCCCATCAACCACCTGCATCCTCTCCAAACAGCTTATTGCTAGCTCAGGACAACCATGGACAGCGAACCCTCGAATCATTGTTGCCCACGAATGCTTATTCCTCGTAGGCATGCTCTCGAATACCTCAGAAGCCATGTTAATACACCCACACTTAGCATACATATCAACAAGAGCAGAGCCGATAAAAACATCATATTCCAACCACTCACTCTTTGTAGCATGCTCATGAATCCATTTTCCTTGCTCAAGAGCACCTAACTGAGCACAGGCAGCAAGTGCTGTGGTCACACAGTACTCATCTGGACCAACTCCACGCCCCAACATATCTTGAAAAATACTCAATGCCTCCTTTGCTAGTCCGCTTTGAAGGTGTCCACTCATAAGAACATTACATTGAATAACATCAATGTCAGTAATTTCATCAAACACCTTACGAGCATCATCCAATGCTTTGCAGTTCGTGTAAAACCGAATTAATGCAGTCTGTACATGTGCATTTGACGCAGAAAAGGAATTCTTGATTATCCAACTGTGTATTTGTTTACCCTCCACTTCCAAAGGACCGTTAGCGCAAGCGATGAGGAGGAAGGGAAATGTGAAGTTATCAGGAGCCGCAGCGTTATTGGTTTGTACCATGAGATTGAAGTAATTGAGGGAAAATTGGGGTTGTGAGCTGCTAGAGTAGGCCCGGATAAGGGCGTTGTAGAGGAACGTATTGGGAGTTTGAACCTGGTCGAAGATCCGTGAGGCGTAGGAAAGGTCGCCGGAATTTGAAAGGGCACAAAAATCGAGGAGCTTGCTGACGGAGTAAGTGTTGCGGTGAAGACCGAGGGTAATGTAAATGGCGTGGATAGCTTTGAGTTGACGCATATTGTTGCACTTTTCTGCCATAGACATGCACCATTTCCATATTTGGAAGCTGTTGTTGGCTCTCACTAGGACACGGGCGTTGCTTAGACAGTTCATAAGCGCACATTGTCAAGGAAGAATGTGGCCGGAGGTCTAAAGAGCCATTGAGTCCCTGCGAAGAAAAGCTTAAAACTCGAATTGGCTACCAACTGGGTCGTGTGGTACCAAAGAAAATAACTTGTACTGGTGTGGCAAACTAATAAAACTTGAGTGCTACCACAGAAACCTAGTAGCTCGACTAATCATGATTCACGCAGTGTAGAATTTACCAAGGAATGAAACATGCTTTATTGGAGTTTCTTCATTTCTAGAGCTTGAACCTGAGTGTCCAAGACCCTCACACTCATCCATGAGTGTTCTTTTATAATTATACCTATCAAATTTGATTTGAATAGTTCGTGATCTGTAAGTGCAGAAACCCAATGAAGGAATTGAAGCTAATATGAAGCAATAATACACCACCACCACTTAAACGGATAATGTTATTCAAACTAAAAAGTACTCTGAAAACCAACTTTAAAGTTCCATTTGAAGCAAATAAAGTAAAACCTTCAAAGACTTGACAGCTAGAACTTGTGGCATGTCTAGATTGAAGAACATCGGCCAACTGCCTGAATATATAAGAAAACTACACAGCTAGCTGTGCTAGGTATGTCTTGTCAGCTCCTTAGCTGCATCCAAGTGCTTATCGAAGGAATCCAAGCCACAACTTCAGATTTCCCAAGCTGACATTACAGAAATTTGACCTCAAACAGATGCCATTGCAGTTGGAGCAAAACAGCATTAGAGCAAACTGCTGCATAATCATGTGGTACTACCAAAGTATTTAACCCTTTCACGACCAGGTGAGGTTCCATATGTAGATATCATATACTGATCATAAAAATGTTCAAAAGAATTTCCGTTGCCCAAACATCTTATGGCAATCTTTATAAAATTGGTGTAAATGACCAGTAATTGATTTCAGAATACTTTGAGATACAGTAAGGAGCTCAACATGTGACAATCTTGACGTCCTAGGTAATCTCAAGCTTCACTTGCTTCAGCATAAGAAGGATACTGCCATATACCCCAACCCATCAAAGCCACCGCCTGACAAGGTTTTCAGCAACTGAAGAATTAAGATAATCCCATCAGAGCACCTCGTTACCATGCCTATTACTCAATCGGGACATAGAATTTCACAATAAGAATCATCAGTACTATATATGAATTGAAAGTTGAAACCTGTGAAATTTGGATAAGTAATCACGTACAGGCAGATGGATTGATCAGTCTGGCACGTGATAATCAAAAGAGCTTCGAGGCAATCCTTGTGCTAAATGTTGCTTCAAAAACACAGAAAATGGAACAGAGCAATTATATTTTTCCCTCTCGTCCTCCCTTTATCAATTTTGGCCTAGGTTTCATAGGCTTGAAGAAAGAAGCCTGAAATTTAACCATACTTCTTAAAACCTCTATCAAATTTGACTCTATACTGATTCCATTAGGCTCAAGGATCCGTAAGCAATGCGCTACTGCCTCCATGGTACTCATGCACCCACTAAACGGTTCCTTCCTAAGAATTAAATCAGAATTGAAGATCGTCCCACCGTCATTGCCAATATCATAGTCTAAGTGAACCTGAACAGCAAACTTGGACAGAAAAGATAAGCTTGCTCGCATCATCTCTCGGGCATGCTTCCAAGTTCCATCAAAAGCAATCAAGACATAATTAGTCATCTCTACATTATTTTTAGAGGACTTCCAATGGTTGATTTCCTGAGATGGTGAAGTATCAGCACCTGGAAAAGCCACGATCACATGAAAATATTTCCATTAGTTCAACAACCAGATAAAAAAATCTGAGAGAAATAAAGGAAAGGAAGAATATTGTTTCTCTTGGCACGTATCCTGCAGGTTTGGGAGGTGGGGGAATGAGAGTGCCACCCCAAGGATTGGTGTATATTGAAAATGTGATTATTTACAAATTATTTTCATTAGACGTGATGGAATAATTATGGCATGAGGATCCAGATAAATAGTCAAAAGAAATTTTGTCCAAGGATGATTGAGTTCTAGCCCTAAATAGACAGAGCTTGGCCTTCCAGTATGCCAACCAATAAACAATTAGTCGTGTTTAAGCTTAACTATATGACCACATTCAGTATCTTTTTCTTTTTTAAGAATTTATTTTGGTATTATTGTCAAAGGGGAAAGGCACTAAAGTCTACTGAAGCTTTAAGAGAAAAGTGCAGTCTGAGGAATGAGCCTCGGTGAAGTAAAGCACAAGTGAAGAGAACAGTTAAGAACATATACATGTAATGGGAGGAAAACTAACCGTAAATACAAAAAGACGATTATATACTTGAGTAGCAAATCAAAAGGATAATTTGAATCCAAGTGAAACCTTAAAATCTATTGTTTATTTTAATATATAATTAACATATAAACAACTCCACAAAGCTCACACAAATATCATGGAGGACCATAGTTCCAAGATCCCAATATTCTCTACTCACATGGAGAGAACAAAAGCTTCTGTCCTCAAGATGATTTTATTTCAGTAACCATCAGTCTCATCTTCCAGGTACCATTAGCTTTGTACATAGAGAAGCCACACACGATAATACCAGATTAAAAGTAATGAATTTTCCATAAGCACGAACCTATGCATTATGGCTTTCCTTTTACCCAATGTTATCAAAGGCGAAAAGCGCAAAAAAGCTCTAAGGTCCGTGGGGGCTTTAAGTGCAAATAAAGTGTGGGCTTTAATGGAAAAACGTGCAAAGGGAGAAAAAATACAAATATATATGTTTAGTCCAAGACTAATAATTATAAACATGAATGACAAATATATGACTAATGAAATTGAATTTTTTTAATTATAAAGTAAAATATCAATTGTTTAGTGTCAATTCTTCATAAGAGGCTCATTGGCAAGGAAAAGTTTGTCTTTGAACCTTGATGACGACACTGAAGCGCACATAAAGCGAGGCGAAGCGCTCAACACGTTTTGAGCCTCGCTTCAGGGTTTAAGAGCGCTTAAAGCGCGCCTTTGATAACACTGCTTTTACCTACAAAAGTAAATATTTTTTCTTGTTTTCTCTGCTTAGTGGTGAATCATCTTCCAATTGTGGGAGCATTTTCTGTTTTCTTTCTTTCAAATATCAATCTAACCTAGACACCACGGCTACCAAGAAAAAATCAAACTTTTTGTCAACACATAGATGTCTGCCCACATAAAAACATTCATGGAATTCAGTTAGATAAAAGTAATCTGCTGCGGGTCAAGCTGTCGAGGGAATCACGAGATAGCACTAATCTCAAATAAATTATCAAGAGACAACAACAAAAACTCAAGATACTTATACAATATGAGTTTTTGAAGTCTTTAGCTTAAGTAATAAATTTTGTTCATACTTGCCCTCAAACAATTTATCAATATAAGCACATATGGGAACTACACAAGATAATTATTCAAACAGTTCATACCAGGAAATAGATAAATAGCTCTGCTGGTGAAATTAGGGTTTCGAAGAGCATCATCATGGAGAGAATCGAGAATGTCGCAAACACCGTAGCGTAATCTCCGTCCAACAATAACATCGCAATTGTCGAGGCACTTGGATAGAACAGGAACCGTAGCAAGCTTGTGGCGCTGCTCGTGAGGGTGGTGAAGAATTACGATTCGAGTAACAGTGGTTATCGGCTCCGATGGGATTATGTTGCATAAACAAACTTTTACTGGCCTATCACAGTTCGAGCAGATTTTCCGTCTATCTTGTTGGTGGCCATCGGCATAATCGCCGGCTAGGAAGCAGACGGCGGCACAGTTATCCAATTGGCGATCAGAGTCCATCTGTTCCCACTAACGGTCAGCCCGCTTAACAAATAGGGGTCGTAACGGGGCTAAGCGGGTTTCATTCTTTTTAATTTGTTTGAAATTTTAGCTTTTAAGAAATCAAATAAAACTTTGAATATGAAACATATTAAAATATTATTGAATTTGTAGTTTAAACATAGTTACACATAGAAAGTTGAGATGGGTGTGGGTAAGTATGCGAAGAACTGAACCGATCGAAATCGAATAAAAAACAATGTTTATTGATCTATTACTATTGAGTTATTAGGATAATCATTTTTTAACCATTTTATAAAAAAATATTGAAAGTAAACTCCTAATTGAGAAAGTACTATCCTATTTGAGTTTTTTTTTTTCTCTTCAAAATAATAAATATGTTGCTCTATTGATAGGCCAAAAGTAATACAAGTAAAAATAAATAGAAAGATTAATTAAGTTTTAAATAAATTAATCTAATTATTATTTTTTATAAAGAATTTAGAAACTTTTCCAAGTCCTAATCTCTTCCTTTTTCCCAACCCAACTCAAATAAGGATACATAATAAGGAAGCCTTTACCGCCAAACAAAAGTTTTTTGTGTTTCCTAACCAATTCTAACTAGGACTATATAACGTGTATATATATATAGGTAACCCTTAGCATTACTTTCATCACCTCATATTTTTTAATTTCTTCAAACATGAATTTGAGTTATTGTTAGTGTTGCACAATGGATTACGAGTTGTACAGAGTTGTAGAGAAATCTCCTTGTGGTAGGTACATTAGATATGATCAGTTGTTGGGTGGAGGCGCTTCCAAAGAAGTCTACATTGGATGGGATCGTGTTCAGCAAGTTGAAATCGCATGGAACCAAATAGTTTATTATGAAGATGATGAAAAATTGTTCGTTGAAGAAGCTACTCTGTTGAAGTCCTTAAACCATGAAAGAATTATTAAGTGTTACCATTATTGGTTTGATTCAGAGTCCAAAATTTTCAACATGATCACGGAGTTATTCCCCTCGGGCAGCTTGAAAAAGTATATTCATAATGGTGTTGGTGTTGGTGTTGATTTGGTGAGTATCAAGAATTGGGGAAGACAGATTCTTCAAGGTTTGTGTTTTCTCCATAGCCAGAGCCCTAAGATCATTCATCGAGACATCAAGTGTGACAATGTGCTCGTTGCTAGTGATGGGAAGCAAGTTACACTAGGAGATTTTGGGCTGGCTGTTCGTATTATGAATGGTGATTTTGTGAAAGAGAAAGAGGCTAAAGGTACCCCTGAATTCATGGCTCCAGAGTGCTACGATGGAGAATACAACGAGTTGGTTGATGTATATTCATTCGGGATGTGTCTTCTTGAGATGGTTACCGGTGAATATCCATATATGGAGTGTAGCAATCAGATGCATATATTTAAGAAAGTGTACACTGGTGTAAAGCCTGTGTCTCTCGGAAAGGTGAAGGACTACAGAGTGAAAGATATTATTGAGAAGTGTATGCTTCCTATGTCTGTTAGGCCGTCTGCAGAAGAGTTGCTGAAAGATCCATTCTTTCTATACAACGGTGGATCATCAACATTCGAGGCTTGTGCTCCTGTTGACAATATTCTTACTAGTCGTGCAATGGATGTTAGGCATTTATATTTGGTGTGATGATCGCAATCACACGTATTTTACTTTAGGATTACGGTGTATAATTGATTGATTTCCACACATTGTCTCTTGGAATTTTTTTTAGAGAAGCCAGGAGTTTTTTCTTTCAAGAATTTGTTGTTGTATGAGAATTTAGTTGTATGTCTATTGAGAAAGTAAATGAAAGCAATTTGCATTTTGATCTGTTCAGTTTGTTTTTTCCTTTATTGTGAATGTTGTAATAATTGACATAATGAGTATTTTGTTGTTTATGAGTTTTTTCTAAATTTTTCCTTTCTTCAGCTTTAGACAAAAGAAGAGAATATCAAGTTGCAAAAGAGGAAAAGAATGTAGTTGAATAATAATTTCTATAACAACTAAAGTTGAAGAACAACAAAACGAGATAAAAATAAGAAGCTAGAACTGGAAATAGAAAAGCAGGGAAGTAAGAAGGCAGACTAACATACAAGAATACCACGTTACAACGGTTGCATGCTAAATTTGTATTCGATTCTGTACAAATGCATCATACCTCAATCCAGTAGCCAGGGCCCAGGGGTAGTGTTTCACAATCACATGGTCTTCACCACGGACTATTTGGATGTAAGAATATCTGCAATCAATTCTCTTCCAGCTGCACGTCAGCACAAGCTACTGTCGTCAAATAGATATAAAATGAGGCTAACACAGCCAGAGAAGAGAACACTTCATAGCAAGGAGGCAGGTGGTTCATCAGTTAGAATGATATACTTTATAGGAAACCAAATACTATAAAGATTTTGTTTCTGGTATGGATTTTACCGATTTGGTTCATACATTCAAAATCGCCCATGGTTCTAGTCTAAACTCATTAAAATTTTGTTATCTCAAACAAAATCTGCAGTTATTATACTGAGCAGATGCAAAACTTAACCAATAGCGTGTGTTAGTGCTCCAGGCATGCATCTGTAGCATCTAGGAGCGTTGCATAACCAGTAGAGACCATCTGATATTAGTTTTTCCACTACAAAAAATAATTGTTTGTACGGACTTCTGCTCATGAATGAAAAAACCAAATAACATTGCAACTGCCACTGTGAAAATAGCAATAAAAAAAAATGTATCTAACAATCTCGGCAAATTTACCAGCTTGAGACATGAAAAAAGAAAAAGAGAAATGTACAGCTTCGTTTCTCGAGGAACTGATCAAATATGAAACTTCTTTCACACGGAGATGGTAAATTCACTAACTTTTGGCTGATGCAGGAACTACCACAACATTCATATCCGCGTTGTTTGGAGGCAATGCTAAACGGAGTGGATATAGATTCCCATTGAACTTGTTTCGCGAACAGACAGTAATATTATCCAGCCCTGTTATTTCCTCCAACTTTTGAGTCAGCTCCCCTACCCCATGCCCTTTGAATTGAAAAGATGGCCCTTCCACTGCATCATTTGCATATCCATTTTCATCAGCCACATGGTAATAGATCAACCGACCTTCAGACTTCACCGTGGAAGCATCAAATGCATCTCTTGACTGTAAATTAAATAGTGGAGTAATAAATAACAATCTCATCTTGCAGTATGATTGAAGAACAAAGACTAGCTGTTTTTCGAGTAAACTAACCTCATTCCCAGGATATGTAGGGGATGTAAAATGAAAAGAAGAGCTGGAATTATCGTCCAATCGTGATTGTGCAACAATTTCAGATTCAGGCAGTATTTCAACAATATCCACTTGCCATAAGATCCAATCGTGGTGTCTATGAGGTATATCATGTGTAATTGAATTTCTCCAAGGGGGTAATCCACCATTTGCGCGTAAATAATTCCCATATCTGGTTTTAAGCTTCACTAGGAATCCATCCTTCATTGGTTCCCACTCAATTGAGGAATCTAACTTTCTAGGCAAACTCTGAACAACTTTGCTACCCGTGACACCAAAAAGGAATTGATCATCTGTGGCTGTTAGATATTTTCCATAGCAACTCTTCAACCTGATGACATTTTCGACTTCTTCAGGGAATTCAATTGTCCATTTTGCACTCTGGGAAGTTCCATCGCGATCTTGGTACACGGTTTCTTGATCAGGATCTGCTAATAAGAATTTGTCATGGCGACTTTTTAGCCTAACCGATTTGGCTTTCTGGAAGAATTCCATCCCAGAATTCTGCAATGAGATTTACAAAAGAAAAATTGCAATTGCAATGATCAAACAAGGCTTTATAAAACTGATTTTTGTTTTTAAAAATATAGAAATCCACCTGTATCCGTGATTCTTTGAGTATTTAGAAAGAATGTTCCATGTGGATGGACGGGAAAAAAGATCTGGAAATTTATGAAGAAACTAACAATGGAAGCTAAAGGCGTTCACTAATGGCTATTAAAGGTATGTCACATGAGAGATGAAAATAGTAATCTCAAGTTTTAATTTGTTATCTCATTTTGACTTGAACAAAATTTAATTTTAAAAAAGTAAAGAAATTTTTTGAATTTTGTTGCATTAAATTAAACATATTTAGAATGTATGTGAGTTGTAAATAGAATTTTTTTTTATTCTTTTTAGAATGAACTAAAAATATAAGTAAGACAAATAAGTTGAAACAGGTAAATTAATAAGTTGAAAGGAGTTTATGTTGTATATATATTTTGTACATTGCCTTCTAGGAAAACAAGTTCTTTAAAAATAAGAGGAAAATGACATATTTAAGAAAAGTAGGAAAAATACGCATAAATGATAGTATTTCAAGTTTATTATTTCCTTTCCATACACTCAATCCTCCCAACCCCCACTCCTTTACTATCCCAACCCCGCCACCTTCGAACCCCACTCTCCGTCTCACCCCGCCTATAATTTGATCTTTTCCTACGCCCCACAAATATTTTCTTTTAAATACAGTTTGATCTTTGTCCCTAGGCCCTACAAATATTTTTTAGAAAAATAATTTGATCTTTGCCCCAGGCCCCCACCCCCGAGAATTAGCGGTAATTTCTCCCCTCAATTACACTCAATATCATGGTGATCAAATAATTACTTAACTGGTATGTCAAACTGTATGACTACGTTCAATTGCACACTAAATTCAATTACAAATTAACTCTCCAAGGAGGCCCTAACTTTTTTTTTAGGAAAAATTACTTAAATACACAACACTTCTTTACCTATTCTCAATATTTCCCTACTCTTTTACTAAAATACAAAAATCCCTTATTTTCCCCCAATTCAACTTAACCGGATACTTTATTAGTTTAAGTATCCGCACTGCTATATTATGCATCTGCCCGTTAATTAAGTATCTGTGCTGCTAACAACTTAATAATTTAAGTATCCGCCCGTTATTAATTAAAGTATCCGCGCTGCTATATTATGCATCCGCCGTTAATTAAGTATATGTGCTGCTAACAACTTAATAATTTAAGTATCCACCCGTTATTAATTAAAGTATCCGCGCT